TAGGTGGATCAACATACATATTTACTTAATTTTGGTAATCCCATTTAGGTGGGATTACGCTTCCTTACAGGTTCAAATTATAAAATTCAACAACGTTCTATATTTTTTTTAAAAAAACAAAAAGCCCTTGATTTTTCCAATGTATACCGGAGACATCATTTTACTTTACTATTGCATATAATGGGATGAGCAACCATGCGGGTGGTGGTTCTGGAACTAAATGCCAGCAGATGTCAAGAGCTTACTGTATTTTATATAGGGCCACCTCTTTCATAAGTGAACATCCTCCAGTCTTTACTGACTGGGCAGCAATAATTATGGTCAATGGTGGTCTGAGGACCCCAAAGCAGTTGGCTGACAGTACCAATTCTTCTTGTACAAATTCTGGTGTGAGGGGGAATTGTAACAGGGACTTTACTTTTGCTGTCATAATGATGATTGCTTATGGGAGCTGGCAGGAATCTGAGTCACCTGCTTCTCAACTGAGGTTAACAGACCCTAATCAATTCCTATGGTGATTGTGGAGGTCCAACTGGGAGGCACTACATAGCTAAGTATTATGGTTACAGTTACAGCTAAGTAAATTCCATCTATAGTAGTAATTTCAAAATTTTGACATTTATATATGCATACATATTTTATGTAAATAATATCAGGTATGGTTCTTTTATTGGTGACACAAAATATTTCTTTTTTTTTTTTTTGGTAATGTGGAATTGCATTCTCCCATAAGAACATTTCTATTTTAGTATTTCACATACTTGTCCTCTCTCATTTTATCTTTTAGTTGCTTGAATACTAATCACAGTAACATTACCTAATCCTGAGAATGGATCATTTTTAGCACTCATGACAAATTACTGTTCTGAGAATTGTTGAAGAGGAAATCCTGTCAATTTAAGTTTAAAGGTCTCTCTTTAGATAGTCATTTAAATGGAATGCACTTGTTGAATAGCCTTTCTCAGTCACATCTTCTAATAGACATAACCACCTAAATCAAATACTAATCCCGACTAGAGTACACAATTGAATCAATAGGTATTTGGTAAATCAAGAAATACGTAAATTCTCTTTCATGGTATATATGCCTGATGGGGATAATGTATCATTCCAGATGTTCTTGGGCTGCAAGTTCTCCCATTTGTCACTCTTGCTGGGTTGATTCAGGGCCCTTCCACACAGTTGTATAACCTAGAACATCAAAGCAGATAATTCACAATATCTGCTTTGAACTGAGTTCACACTGCTATATAATCCAGTTCAAAGCAGATAATGTGGGATTTTATGCAGCTGTGTGGAAAGTGCCTAAGGCTGGATCTGATTAGTGTTCCCGGGATCTGTTACTAGATTATCCATTTTGAACTGGATTATGAGTCTATACTGCCAGATAATCTGGGATAAGAAGATAATCTGGGATAAGATTCAGTCTAGGAGTATTAGTACTTGCAGTTCAAGAACATCTGACTACAAGAATCCCACCCTCGTATCAGTTGTAGTCAACAGTACAATTCGGGGTGGGGAAGGGGGGAAGCTGGAAACTCTTGCCTAGTGGTATAATACAATAGTGTTGATATGAACCCTAGGGCTTCTTTGAATTATAAATTCTTTAAATGTTTATTTTTCTCTTTGTTAGCTCTCTTAACTATGACTGTGAGTGGGAGAAAACATAACCTCTGTATACCTCTGTATGGCTGTCTGGCAACTTCCCACATGTCTGCACTGAAAAGTGCAGAGGTGCAGAATGGTTCTCTTAAATATAATTAATTCCTGCTATTCCTGCAAAACTCGCAGTGTGCTGGTGTGGGAATGTTGGATAGAAATCATGCTGATAAGGAATCAGATAGAATTATAAGAGAAATAAGATGCTTTTTCTTCTCTCTGTCAGATAACAGCAGTGAGATAGGAGGAGAAAATTGAGGTTGCAGAAAGTTCAGGGAAGAGGCAGTTTTGTTCCTAGATAGGACTGGTAAAGGATGGCTTTGACAGAGATATGAGGATTATACTGTGATGTCAGGGTATAGAAAGGTCAAGATGTTGACAATGAATAGTGAATTTCTCTCCATCCTCCTTGAGAAAAATATACTTAGGCAAGTGCAATGTTTGCCATTTCATTCTACAGATGTGATAGAGAGCCATATGGCCACAGCTTACATTTGATCTCTTTTCACTTGTTTTCTCACTTTTAAAATCAGGAATAACATTAAGTCCAATGCAGAAATGCATATATTGTAAAACATGGGAAATGAGATCTTGAGGCTGGCATGAAGACTTTTCCTTGCACTCATTATGTTCCACGGTCGAAACTAGTACAATAAAAATGCTGATCTACATTTGGTTAGTATCTTTTATGGGTTCCATCATTACAAAGTACAGTAATTATAGCTATCTTGATATTGCTTAGCCACATACAGCTTGCCTTTTACCTGTGAAATGTTGGAGACAGACATAAAATTCAGTGTGCTCATGGTGAAAAAAAGAATTAAAAATGGTTTACCACAAGGAGGACACTTCAGGAAGTTGTCATAGGGCATCCAGACAGCACTTAAAATGCACGAGTGCCCGCATTTTTATCTAGAGCATACAAACAATGCCTTTGGTAGAAACAAACTTCTTCAGGACAAATCAGGAAAACTCTGGTTTGTTCTGAAGTAATTTGACACCTAGAAATACCCAGCTCTTTCCAGCTGTGGTTGCTATGTGGATTGGGCCCGGGGAACATGTCGCATGACTTCTGGTCCCAATCCACACAGCTGGCTTGGAATTTTTGGGCTCCTTGAGCCAGAAAACCCCAAGACAGCCCCCCTCTCAACCCCCCCTTTTAAAAGCCTTTAAAAAGAAAATAACTTACCCAGCCATGATTCCCCCTTCTCCGGAGCTCTCCATGTGTGTAGAAATCATGGGCCAGGAGAAACGAGGAGGAGGAAAATCGCTCCTGCCCCCCCCCTCTCCTGGCACGTCATTTCTACATGACAGGAGAGCTCCAGAGAAGGGGGAATGGCAGCCGGGTTAGTTATTTTTCAGTTTTAAGGCTTTTCTGGGGGGGGGGGGGGGAATGTGTGTTTTGCATCTGACTGGCCTGCTGGAAAGTCCAACCCTCCCCCAGCAAAGTGAGGATATTGGGGGGATCAGTGTGAAATTTAATCATGGCCCAATTGGGTTTAAGAAACCTGATTGGGCCCGGGTAAAAGTCATGTGTAGAACCGGCTATTGTCATTAATGAAAAAGTTTGTCACTGCAGGTGAAAAGATTGTATTGCCTAGAAGTTTGATACTACAATAACTGCTTGAATCTTTATTTTTTGGGGATTTTTTTCATGTTAGAAGCAACTTGAGAAAGTGCACTTCTGGTGTGAGATAATTGGTCGTCCGCAAGGACGTTGCCCAGGGGATGCCTGGATGTTTTACCATCCTGTCCAAGGCTTCTCTCATGTCCCCACATGGGAAGCTGGACCTGACTGATGAGAGCTCACCTCGTCTCATGAATTCAAACTGCCAAGCTTCAGGTCAGCAGTTCAACTGGCACAAGAGTTTAACCCATTGTGCCACCATGGCTCCATGTGGGATGAAGTGATGATATGTAAGCATCTGGAACCATGAAGAGTTAGAAACTAATGAAAAAGTAATTCTCTTGCTGTCACAGCTCTGAAAATTTGTCACTATTTACATCTCAAAAATAAATAGTTGCGAAAGCCAACCATCCACAAACTACATCCAAAATTTAAAATGCAGATCACTGCTTCTTTATAAGTAAACACTTCTTTTGGCATTTTTAATTTGCTTTCAACCTGCTTTCTGAATATCAGATGCTGATATTGACTGCTGTGTAAATGGAAAAGAAATCATAGGTTTCTACCTTCACTGTGCGGTTGTCAAGCCCCTTTGTATGCTCTTCAAATTCCTCTCCTACGGTGAAATTCACTTCATAGTTCCTGAAGGTACTCAGTGTCTTTGTCTTGAAATTGTTTCCTTCTTGAACAAATTCTTTTGTTTGTTTCAGGTGCTTTGCAATCTTACGGGTAGCAAAGTCAATATCTGTAGAGTGGAGCAAAAGATATTCATGCTAACAAACTGAATTCAAACTTATAATAATATGCATTGAAAGAAATAAAGCAGAGACATATTTTTGAGGTTTAGTGGATCCTACTATCGGCATTTGCTTCAGAAAGGACTTTCTGTGTAGTGGAAAGACCACTTTGTTCAAATGGTACATGCATGTCAGTTTTAAGCAGAAATTTAGTACAAGAATCAGATTAGTTTAGCAATTAATACATTGCATTAGCGATGGGAAGGCTTTGAAGTTCACTGGGTGACCTCGGGTCAGTAGCCAATGTTTATCAGACTCTCAAGAGTTGTTTTGGGAATAGAAATGAGGAGAGAGGATCATATACATAGCCACTGGTTCCTTTGAGGAAAGGCAGGAATTAGATATAATAAATAGGCAGGGATGTAATTGCATCTTTATATATTTGGAAGTCATTACCAAGAAACACATTAGGGCTTATTTCTCAGAAAATACACGCATTTGGCTGTAAGAAATCATTTTAAAGGGAGACACATAAAAAGAAACTCAAGCAGCCAAGCCAATATCATCTCAAACTGCTTATGTATAGAAGAAAATTATGGGATAGTATGTTGTCAAGAGAATGAAGGAAACAAGTTTGAGCATTTATTTTCAAGTGACACAAGGAAACTCCATTCATTTCAAGGCAAAAAAGGTCAATGGTGCCCAAAACCCTCTTGATATTGGCATATATGTCTTTTGCCTTTCCCTCAGAAATAAAAAAATCGACTATTTGCCAGAGAACCCTTTATTGATGTTCTTTTGTTGCTTTTCAAAGAATCAGTAGGCTCTCTTGTCTTTCACTTTCTGCCTTCCCATTTTGAATGGGGGATGTATCTACACCATAGAATTCATGTAGTTTGATAACAGTAATGCTATGGAACTATAGGAGTTGTAGTTTTATGAGGTCTTTAGCCTTCTCTGCCAAAGAACAATGGTGACTCACCAAATTACAGATCCCAAGATTCTACACCACTGAGCCATGGCAGTTAAAATAGTGTCAAACCGCATTAATTCTACAGTTTATATGTACCTCCAAGTCTCTCTTTACACACTTCTCAAGCTCATTGAGAGCAGTGTTGCAGTTGGAATACAGAGCAGGTCAGCAGTTGCACCCAGAGAAAACAGTTTCCTGGGTCCAGTTCTGTTCAACATCTTTATTAATGACTTAGATGAAGGGTTAGATGGCATGAGCATCAAGTTTGCAGATGACACCAAATTGGGAGGGATTGCTAATATTCCAGAAGACAGAAGCATAATTCAAAACTATCTTAACAGATTAGAGAGATGGGCCAAAACTAACAAAATGAAGTTCAGTAATGAGAAATGCAAGATACTCCTTTTAGGCAGAAAAATGAAATGCGAAAATACAGAATAGGGAACGCCTGGCTCTGCAGCAGTGCATGTGAAAAAGATCTTGGAGCTCTTGTGGACAAGTTAAACATGAGCCAACAATGTGATGCAGTGGCTAAAAAAAGCCAATGGGATTTTGGCTTTCTAGACATGGCATCCCTGTTTAGAAACAGGGATACCACGCTAGCTTCCTATTCTGCCTTGGTCACACCACACCTGCAATACTGTATTCAATTCTAGCACCACAATTGAAGGGAGATGTTGACAAGCTAGAATGTGTCCAGAGGAGGGCAACTAAAATGATCAGGGGTCTGGAAAACAAGCCCTATGAGGAGAAATTTAAAAAGCTGGGCATGTTTAGCCTGCAGAAAAGAGGGCTGAGAAGAGACATGATAACCATGTATAAATATGTGAGGGGAAGTCATAGGGAGAAGGGAGCAGGCTTGTTTTCTGTTGCCATGTGAAACAATGGCTTCAAACTACAGGAAAGGAGATTCCACCTGAACATTAAGAAGAACTCCCTCACTGTGAGAGGCTCCTCCTCTGAGGGATTTTAAGCAAAGACTCGATGTCCATCTGTCAGGGGTGCTTTGAGTGTGATTTTTCTGCTTCTTGGCAGGTGGTTGGACTGGATGACCCGCGAGGTCTCTTTCAACTCCATGATTCTATGAATGTCCACGAGAAAGCATGTAAACCATAACATGGTATATACTATTTTAATTGCACCTTTTTCCTATTTTGTCACATTATTTTGATTGCTGTGTATATTGTACATGAGATACACAAGGAATACTTCACCAGTTTTTTTATTCTCAGTGAGAAAAGCATATTCTAGCACACTGAAAATGGTAAAATGTCATGAGATCTTTTTGCATTTGAAGGTTTTTGTGTGATAGATTTCTTTGCACAAAAATTACTTTGCAGTACATTTTTAAGTGTGTTCTGTGCAAAAATAGTAGTTTGCACAAGAGTCGCACTTCTGTACAAACAATTGTTTTCACAAAAATATCAAAATATGTGAAAAAATTCCAAAAGTGGAAATTACAGAAATCTCTTCTAATCTGATCCAAGAAGGGGAATTCTTTGTCCCTAAATACAAGAGTTAAATAAATATTCATATCCTAGTGTTCATACATCCTGGCCCTTACTTAGAGATAGGTATGTATAACAGACAGGTGTGTGTATACAAGGTATATCTATCTATAAACAAAGCTTCCACAACTCATGGTTGTTATTCCTGCTTTTGATAGATCCTATTCAGTTCTTTGCAGGTGCAGAAAATATGAATACAGGTTTCTCTTAATGAGGAAAAGTGGGAAAACAAGCCCAAATTCAGCCTTGCATCTCCTCAAATTTGATGGGTGCTAACAAAGCCAACTATACCAAGCATCTGTTCAGTGCTAACAACAGCAGACAACAAATGCTGTGTAATGTTTCTGTTTTCTCTTTTCTAGTTTATGTGTGGCTCTTAAATTGCAAGCCATTATGTAAACGGCCTTGCTTTGGCAGAAAGGTGGTATATAAATGTAGGGTTTGATCAAATAAATAAGAAAATAAGTGAGGTAAAACCTGCTACGCCTATAGGACATTGTCAATGTTGCAGTTTGGCAATTCTTTTTGTTTTTATTTTTAATCTGACTGCCAACCATAGCCCTTGGATTACTGATTTACAGCCAGGCCGGCTTTTATGAGCAAACACCAGCTGAGGACAAGGTGTCCTGGCTGCTGGGACATTGCAAGGACAATGTGACAGAATTTCAGAGGCAATACAAACATTCAAGATCCAGGTTAAACCAGGCTGTTTATTCCATATTCCTCATCTCACTGTTCACTGAGTGTGGCCATGCTGTTGAAAACATCTTCCTGCAGCTGATACAGTTCTACTTCTCTGCTCCTGATATGTTAAGTGACAAGGTTTGCTTTTGTTGCTGAATGATCTACTAATCTAAATGTTAGAATAAACTGATTTTATCTCTTTGCCTCCTTAGGATACTGTGGTATAGGATGGCACACAAGCATTTGAATGAAATAAAGGTGAAACTGATTGTGGTATCTCTATAGTCTTTAGGACCACTTTCCTGTTACAGTCTGAGGAATTTGTAATAATTTTCCACATGTACCACCTGCATTTACTGTTATGTGGTTTTGCCAATTGGGTTGAAAATATAAACACTATCATACACAGTGGGTTTTCCAATTAATTGGAAAACTATTTTGGAAAATAGCACTGGTGGCTAACACATCATTAGAGGAGTGAATCCACTGAATTTAAAGTAACTATCCAAAGAGTAGAAACTATCTCTCCAATAAGTTCAGCAACTGGACAAGTAAATCTAGATTAAAACCTGGAACAGATTCTTTGCCCCACTCTCATGGAAGCCATTAGCTGCCCCTGTGTTTTGATCAGCATTACTTTTTAGCTGTTGACTATTTGCTTTCTTGTTGAATGGCGTCTCAACCTTTCCAGAGACAAAAGGAACAACAAAAACAATAACTGGCAAGGGATTTTTTAAGCAGATGCTTAAAAAAAATCTCCAAAAATAAAAACTGGAGCTACTTTCTAATCTGATTTGTAGAAGGTATATCCATGGTCCTGCTTATATTAACTTCAAAGTATATTTGTTTAGAATTAGATCATTATATTTTAAAGGCAACATTTAAAACTGGGTTGAATTGTTTTAATACTTACCTAAAGCAATCATGTAACCTTCAAAGTTTTCATTGGATTCCATTTCCCATGTTCCATTGTAATCTGCAGGCATTGCAGCTAGGAGTTTCAATCCAAGGATGACTCAGATACAGAACTTTGAAGGGGACCTGAAACAAGAGCATCCTGTGATTCTGCCCCTTTTATATTTCTTTGTGTGAAGGTTATGGTTTCCAAGATAATAAAGTCTAAGGGTCAAGCAAGATAACATAAGCACAACTTTACTTTTCATTACCAAAGTTCAAGAGGACAGAACACATACAATAAATTGATTGCTGAGACTAGAAGTCAGAAGAAAATGATTTTGCAATAACCTTTGTAAAAGATAAAAGCCAGGAAGACAACAGAATACATTTATGAGAACATAACTTTGAAATATGCCAGAATGGCATGGAGTTTTTTTTTAAAAAAAAACTGATTTTTTTGGTTTGTGTGTTCAGATAGGAACCTCTATCTTCTGTTCAATTGTATTGACATTTTGGATGCAGGAAGAATTCAAACTAATTCAAATATTAAAGTAATATATTTTCATGAGATCTTTCAAACCGCAAGTCTGGAACAAAATAGGTATTCCATGGATACAACACCTACACTGCTGGTCAGCAGTCTCCCTTTCTCATCTGACCGAACCAGCCTTTGAGGTAGTAATGGGATTCTTCCAACTTGCTGAACTGGGAAATCAGCTTGCATGCTAAGATTGCTTTGTTTGTCACAGTAAGCCATACTCTATACATAGTTTCCTAGCCATTGTCATGTATTGTCTGTCTGCAAGATGGTCCAACCCATGAGGCAAAGAGATCTTAATGGTTTCCTGAAGGCTCTTGGAGAACTCTCTAAAGTCCACCATGCCAAAAAATACTGCCTAGTTTCCAATATCCCTTTCTTAGGTCAGGCTCTAGAGCACATGGTGGCTTTCCAACTCCAGAGATTCCCAGATGAGATGTATCGTCTAACACTATTTCAATCAGGTTTCAAACTAATTATGGAATGTAAACACAGCTCAGCATCACTACTGTGTTAATGACAAGCAATGTTGTTTCACCTTTCCTTCTACTGCCAAAGTGCTAAACTGGGTTTGACTTTTGGGGTGATTCTACACAGACACTGTAATGCAGTTTGAGTTGGATGAAAATGAACTAGTTTTGCCGTGCAGTGCTTCAAGGATGGGTTAGTAGCCAGTGCCACAATATATCTGCTGAATGTGGATTGGAACTGAATCCAGGAACCACAGTATCTATGGCTAGACAGCCTCCAGAAAATGTGGGGTGTTTTTTTTCTTACTCAGTCTGCTAAGATATGCTGATGTGCATATCCATGTTCATTTGAGATCAGCACTGTGATTGACCACTGAAAAATAAAGGGTCAGAAAGTGAGTATTCCCATGAGAATGATGTGGTTTCCTCTCCCGGGAAATAATGCTTTATCTTCTGGCCAGCTGTGTTTCAACATTTTTAAAAGTGTTTTAGTGCTGGGGTGTCCTGATAAGCGCTCATGTTTTTCAGTCTCAGATTCAGGCCCTGTGTGGGATATACTCTGATCATCTGCAGTGCATTATCTGTTGCTAGTGAGTTTTTTATGCACTGTTTCTGGCTTGATATGCACTCCAATGTACATTGGGTGTGTGCATTTTATGGATGCCCTACCCTCAAGCCAGCTTTGAACTGTGTTATGGTGTCTGTGTAGAAGCACCCTCAGCAGTGGACTGGATGAAGGTGAAAAAAAGAAATTTAATACAATCAAGAGAGAAAATCTTCTGGCCAGTTGAAAAGAAGGTTAGGGAATAAAGATTATCATGTGCTGGGGAGAGTTACACCTCCCCTGAAATCTCAAGTGTGTAGCTTGGATGTACCTTTGCATTCAGCCCTGAACATGGACACCAAGTTCCTTTAGTAGCTAGAAATGCATTTGCACACAAAAAACAAGTCAACCAGCTGCTCCTATTCTTGGAAAGGTCAGGTCTGCTATGCCTTGATTACATTTTGTTTGGATTACTGCAAAGCACTCTATGGGAGGCTACACATGCTCAGAAATTCCAGTAGAAATACTGAAGAATATAATTCCCTTGTTGAACCAGCTTCAATGGCTATCAGTTAATTCCTGGGCACACTTCAAAGGGCTATTTATGACCTATAAAAACCTATATGGTTTGGATGCAGACTATCAAAAAGACTATGTCTTTACACGAGTCCATGTAAATATAGGTAATTTAAGGGAGACTCGAGGCAGCTTTGACATGAGCACTTGGAGGGTTCTTTCAGAGACGCAGAAAAGTATAAGATATGATCTCTAAATCAGTTCTTACATAGTTTAATGTGTAGTGTAACTGGTAGTGAAATGGACAGGTTGGTAGTAAAGGGAGCAGGCTAAATTGCCTCATATCTCATGGCCAGATGCTTTTTCAGCCACATAGCCTTTCTTGTGACTGTAATAACTCTATCCAACACAATACGGGATGTATTTGCTTTGTCAGTTATCAGGATGGTTCTGTAGCTTCCTTTCAGATGGTGATAGTGCTGAGGTCAGCTTCAAATTTCATTATAGAAGTGATTTCTTGCTATCACAGGTCTCCAGATGCAATGTTATTTTTCCCTCCTGGCTGCAGCTGCAAACACACTGGAGAAAAATAATCCAGTTTTATTGTGAGATGTACTCACTTGTTAGAAAGTCTCTGGAGACAAATTGTAAAATACCAAAAGCTAGAAGGAGAGCTTTATTTGTGACATTTTGAATTAAAATAAGAGTCATAAAAATCGACCAAGTCTCTACAAGCTTGTTGTCAACAAGTACACACATAGTGTCACACCCTGGACCACCTCCTGAACCAGACCATACTGAATTCTTTTGTATTAATGGTACTTGTAAATTGAAATGAGTCTCACCTTAAAATACCATATTTTTATGCTAGCCCAACTCCAATGCAATGATCTCTTGGTCTCCTCCTTCAACAAAACATCCACATCATTGAAGGGAAGGCAACAACAAATTCTAACCACAACCACCCCATGTAATTAAGAGCTAAATATCCAAAAAGGCAAAACAACCAGCAATTTTACTTTCCTGAAACCTGTATAATCCAAACTTTTCCCATCCATAATACCTCATGTCATAGTTTATCTCTCTATTTCTGTCATAGAAACACGATTCACCATGTCACATGGCCTTGCTTTGCACACACAAACAGACAACTGCTCAAGCAATATCCACAAAAAGAGGGAATAACTGGTTTTTACTCAAACACAATGTCAGGAATTCAAAACTAAATTTTCAAATCCCTCCCCTCACTCTCCCTGCAAGCAATGGAACCCCACTGGGTTAAGAAGACTTACCAAATTAGTAATTGAGCTTCTGTTGCCAGGCATATTAAAGAGTAAGCATATGTGGCAAAGAGCTGAGAAGCAGCCATGTATATCTATTAGATAAGAAAATGGTATGCAAGGTAGGTTGTAACCGCTTTTGCAAATGTTGGTTTATTGCCCCAGAGCCAGTGTTTAGCTGATCCCTTGATGCTGGTGGTGCTTCTTGCCGCATCCATGTGGATGAGCAGTGAAGCAACTCATCCATTCCCCGCTTTCATGACCCTCCATGTCCCTTAGCACTTAGAGTACTAAGATGCTACTTTTTTTTTTGGTGAACGGATGTTATGTGGGGCTCACACAGAGAATCAGCCTTGAGGACATTAAACAGACTCCTCACTGAACAGAGTGAATTGGTGGATACTCAGCAGACAGCACTTTTCACCTCTGGCTCCAACATGCTCCAGGAGCAGAACTCAGTTTCCTAGTGTCGCCTAATGCTGTCTGAACCCCCTTAGTGATATCACTGAGCTTCTGGGTAGTTTTTCATTTCATCCAGACTAAATCAAGACTCTGGGATAAATCTCTTGACAAAAAGAGGGATTCTTATTCTTATACCAAAAAAAGATACATTGCCAAATGCATGGGAACCACAGCAAAGTACAGTTTGTGATGAAAGAAGAAGTTGGAAAGGTAAATAAGCGAACTAAAATTAGTCAGTTTTGCATACACTATCTTTAATTTTTTTAAATCCCAGATTTGATGATATTACTACCAAAAAGAAAAGAAATAAAATATTCATTCCTCTACTGGGGATGTGACTCTTTGTTGACAGAAGAAAACAAATTATTTGCTCAATTTGTCCACCACTGTTGGAACATCTTTGAAAACTGTGCCATTTTTAAAGACGTTACAACTGTTCAGCACTTACCCCTCACCTTCACCTCATCACCCATGCTGCCTTACGACTACCATCCTGCTGGTGCTTGATGCCTTGCTGCTCTTCTCTGCCTTCCCTTTTTCTCCATTCCATCTTCTTTTGTATTCAGACTTCTTTTTAAGTATCCTCTTCAATTTCCCTAATTTCCCTCTTTTTTTCTTTGTTCTATCTTTATTGAAATAAATATAACTTAATAGAAACTCAACAGAATAAAATAACATTTAAAGAATATCAGTATTTCTTTCCAAAACATGTAATAAATTCATATGCACACATCCATGGCTAGAAAAGAGAGAAAAAAACGCCAAAAAACAAGTCTTGATTTTGCCAGTTTGTATAAGGGACACCATTTTTCTATGTCACTGTAAAATGGGTTTTGAACATCCCCAGATTTTGGTATCCATTCATGTACTGAAACCATCCACAGTGGATACTAAGGACCCATTTTATAGTTAGATAGATTTTCCTAGGTCTGGGAAAGGAAATCACAAGCCCAGTGTTCAGAAGTACCTAGCTGATATGCAGATTCCTTTTGTCAGAACACAACATTATTTCCGGGGGGGGGGGGGACACACAACAATTTATATTCATACACATGGTAGCTAATTTCCTAAGGCACAAGAAAGGAAACATCAAGTCCACTAACTGGCTAACATAATTCTCTCTTGTCATTTTTTTTTGTTTGTAAGTAAGTAAGCAAGCAAGTAAAACTTTGTTTCTATCCTGCCCTATCTCCCCATCGGGACTCAAGGCAACTCACAGTACAAAGGCAAACATTCAATGCTATACACACACACACACAATACATTAACAAAATTTCAATGGACAATACGGCACATTCAGCAATCATACAAATCACAAGCAAAACAATAATGATAAAGTAAAAACAGTCTAAATAAAAACAAGT